ACAAACGGTCAGTACCCCCAAAACCAAACCTGGAGCTGCAGCTAGGGACACAGAGGCGCTGAAGAACCCTGTGATCACTCAGCGATGCTAGATAAATCCCAGCAGCTCACCAGCTACTGACCTCCAGAGGTAGGGGAAGCTCCTCAGCCCAGACGCCCAGGGAGCTCTGGCAAGAACACCAGGTGGGCTGGCTACTCGTGGGCCAAGTCCTGTCGGAATGCCTGCTTCAAGCCTGGATGAAAGGTCGTAGCATTAGAGCTGGAACCGCATTCATGGAACCTCGGAGGGTCTGCGCCTGTGATTCCGCCCAAACCTCTTGTGGAATTGTAATCCCCAGTGTTAGAAGCGGGGCCTGGGGGAGGGGCCTGGGTCATGGGGGTGGATTTCCCCTTCGGTGCTCTTCTCATGACACTGAGTTACTGTGAGAGCTGCTTGTTTAAAAGTGTGTAGCCCCAGGCCGGGAGCGGTGGCTCACACCTGTAATCCCAGCACTTCAGGAGGCCGAGGCAGGCGGATCACCTGAGGTCAGAGGCTTGAGACCAGCCTAGTCAACATGGTGAAACCTCATCTCGACTACATATACAAAAAAAAAAAAAATTAGCCAAACGTGGTGGCAGGTGCCTGTAATCCCAGCTACTAGGGAGGCTGAAGAAGCAGAATCACTTGAACCTGGGAGACGGAGGCTGCAGTGAGCCAAGATCCTGCCACTGCACTCCAGCCTGGCAACAGAGTGAGACCCTGTCTAAAAAAAAAAAAAAAAAGCATGCGGCTCCTCCTCCTCCTCTTCCTTTTCCTCCTCTTCCTCTTCATCCTCTTCCTCCTCCTCCTCCTCCTCCTTCTCCTCCTCCTCCTCTTCCTCATCCTCCTCCTCTTCCTTCTCTTCCTCCTCTTCCTCCTCCTCCTCTTCCTCATCCTCCTCCTCTTCCTTCTCTTCCTCCTCTTCCTCCTCCTCCTCTTCCTCCTCCTCTTCCTCCTCCTCTTCCTCCTCCTCCTTCTCCTCCTCCTCCTCCTCTTCCTCCTCCTCCTCCTCTTCTTCCTCCTCCTCCTCTTCCTCCTCCTCCCCTCTCCTCTCCTGCTCCAGCCACATAAGACATGCCTGTATCCCCTTCGCCCTCCACCACGATTAGAAGTTTCCTGAGGCCTCCCCAGCCATGTTTCCTATGCAGCCTGCAGAGCCATGAGCCAATTAAACCTCTTATTTTAGAAATCACCCAGTCTCAGGTAGTTCTTTATAGCAGTGAAAGAACCAACTCGTACAGAACCAGAGGGGAGGAAGACACAGTTGTGCAGAGCAAGGCTGCTTCCAGGGAGACAGAGCAGGATGGCGGTGTGGTGACCTCCGTGTGCACCTGGGCACCCAGACAGAGCAGGATGGCGGTGTGGTGACCTCCGTGTGCACCTGGGCACCCGGACAGTTCTGCATAGCTGTACGAGCCAGGGCTGCAAGGCACCCACCAACACCCCTGTACCATCCCTAACATGACCGATTACCCCTCACGTGGGTTATTTGAAAATTAGGTGAAATGCATACAAGCTAAAACTGACCATTTGTACCATTTTAAAGGGTACCATACAGTGGCACAGAGTGGCTTCATAATACTGTGTGACCATCACCATTGCCCAGTTGCAAAGCCTTCTCATCACTCCAAACCAAAACCCTATACCCCATTCCCTGCCCTACCTTCCATCCATGTGGATTTGCCTGTTCGGGACAGGTGGTACACGTGTGATCCTACACCAGGTGCGTGGCCTTCCACGCCTGGCTTCTCCCGCAGAGCGTGCTGCCCAACGCTCCCACGTGTGGGAGCGTGTGTCATGCTTTGTCCCTTCTCATGGCTGAATCACACTCCATGGTGTGGATGGAGCACACTCACGTTTCATTGATCTGCTCATCTGTAGAGGGGCGTGCAGTGGGCTTCATACAGATGTTCCCGCTCCGTCGTGTCAAGAGAACATCACTGATCCAGAGACACAAACTACAAAAGGGCAGACCCAGGGCCAGGACCCAGGTTGTCCTGAAGCACCACCCGTTGGCCACAGCAGCAGCTGAAGGAAGGGACGCACCCCCTGGTTCACGGAGCCGTGGCCTCTGCTGAGACAGGGGGGTTTGTCAGCAGGCCTCTGGGAACCACAGTGTCCCACGGCTTCTACCTAAGTCCAACCACCGGCCTCCATCTCTCCTTGTCCCACTCAGCAGAGCACCCCATGGGGCAGGTCTCCACACCAGCACTTGTCCTCTCTGTGCTTATACCCACAGGCTCTGCTGCCCCAGCTCTGCCTGGCCAACACCCGCCAGCCTGCTCCGCACAGACACCAAGTCTCTCCCTGCTGGGTGCCTCCCCTCTCCACCAGAGCCCTGCTCCTGCAATGCCCAGGCCTCCTTCCCTCCCACCCTCTTCTGCCCACCCTCATGCCTCCAGGCCTTCCACCGTAAGCTCTGGATGTCTAATCCCAGGTTTCCTGGAAACTGCCTTTTGAGAGCCTCGTCAATCAGATCAGTTTCAGCTTTATACAAGGAAAAACTCCACGTGGCGTTAACACAGTTATGGCACTCAGATTTAAGTCTGGAGGTTAATGGTACTGCCAGTGCATTAAACAGCTGGGCCGTTTATTACGAAACTACTGCGCTTCTGACCCAGAAATCCCACTCGGGTGTTTACCCAAAATAAATGGAAACGTGCTGCTGTGGTCTGAACATGGGGCCCCCAGCTAAACTTCATAAGCTGCCATCCTAAGCCGCTAAGGTGATGGTATCAGCAGGCGTGGAGCTGGGATTAGGGCTGGAGGGTGGGATCCTCATGGTGGCATTAATGCGCCTTGAGGGTCTGAGGAGACCAAAGCCACCGTGTGAGGACACATATGTGAAGCGGAAGGTGGCCCTCATCAGACACTGGGCCTGCTGGCGTCTTGATCCTGGACTTCCTGGCCTTCGGCATTATGGGCAATCAGGGCCTGCAGTTCATCAGCCACCCCATCTATGGCATTTTGCCACAGCGTCCTGGGTGAACTAGGACACACACATGTTCACACAAAAACCTGTAGGTGAAATTTTTAGGGGCTTTATTCTTAACTGCCAAAAATTTGAAAAAAGTAAATGTCCCTCAGTGGAGGATAGATTAAAAAAAAAAAAAAAAAAAGACACACACACACACACACACACACACAGTGGCACATCCATACAGTGGAATGTTACACAGCCATGAAAAGGAGCCAACCACGACACTGCCCGAATTGTGGATGAGTCTCAAATGGACAATGAGAAGAGAAGGGTCCAGACCCACCGGCTTCCTGCCGATCCCAGGTGTGTGGCTGCAGGGAGAGGCAGAACTCCAGCGTAGACAGACCAGGGGCTTCTGGGGTCGGGGTGAAGGGAGGGAAATGCCTGCCAGGCACGGAGGGAGCTCAGGGGCAGGGAAAGAGCCTGTGCCTTGATGACTGTGGGTTACACGACAGCATGCATTTGTCAGCACGCACTGTGTGTGCACCTAGAAAGGCACCTGCGTACACCCTACCTCCACAGGTGTGCGTTTCAGAGCAGTCTAGACTAGGGGTTTCAATCAGGAGGTGACTGGGGCTTCCAGCAGGTAATGCCTGGAAATGTTTTTGGTTGTCACGACTGGGGTGGGGGTGCTGTTGGCATCTGGTGGGTAAAGGCTGGGGACACTGCTCAGCTTCCTATGAGGAGCATGGCAGCCCCCCCCCCCCGCAAACAGGCAAAGCACGTGATGAGTCTGTCAACCACAGAGGCACCCGGAGAAGCACGGAGAGTGCACACAAGTGGCCAATCACGTTAGTGTGCTGGGAGGATGAGTGATCATCTTCCATTAAGGTATCTTTAGGGCCAGACACGGGTGGCTCACACCTGTAATCCCAACACTTTGGGAGACCAAGGCAGGCAGATCACCTGAGGTCAGGAGTTTGAGACCAGCCTGGCCAATGTAACGAAACCCCGTCTCTACTAAAAATACAGAAATTAGCTGGGCATAATAGCGGGCGCCTGTAATCCCAGCTACTCAGGAGGCTGAGGCAGGAGAATTCCTTGAACCCAGGAGACTGAGGCTGCAGTGAGCCAAGATTGCACCAATGCACTCCAGCCTGGGAGACAGAGTAAGACTCTGTCTCAAAAAACATAAAGACTAAAAAAGATTATCTTTAGCACAGGTGTTAGTGATTTTATCTGGGGTGGGGGAGCCCTTGTGAGCTGTCCATCAGGGCCACCAGGACTTGTATCTCCCTGAGCCAAGCCGGACCACAGTATCAGTTTCGGGCACTGCCCCCCAAAATCATGCTTTATGGAGCATTCAGCCTGATGTTGATTTAAAAGCATAAATCAGATCATGTCACACCTTGTTACCATTTCCCCACTGCACCCAGATGAAGGCTTGCCTTGGCCCAGGGTCCCTCAGAAGGTACCCCTCCTCCTCCTCACTCCCACACCCTTCCTCTCTGCGCCCACCAAGCGCAGCACCTAAAGCAGGTGCCTTCTTTCCTTCTCCTCCCTTCTTGGAAGAACAGAGGACTGCTCTGGATTGCTTGAGGGTGGCTGCATGGGAAAAAGCCCAGTTCTCTCCTTGTCGAAGTGCCTCCCAGAAATCAACCTGGGTGCGGCTTCTGTGACCCCAGCCAACCCTCCCTCTGCCTGGACTAGAGTCAGACACAGGCCCCCCTGGAGAGCAGAGGGTCTGGTGCTATCCACACTCCCTAAGAAGGCTGACCAGCGGCAAGAACGTCCACAGGACACGATTGGAGAAGAAGCCCTGCACACACGTGTTCACCACAACATGGTTCTCAGGAGCCCAAGGCGGATGGAACCAAACACCCATCAGTGGATGGACTGGCGAGCCAGCGTGGAGCAGCCGCACCACGGAATATTCTACAGCCATCAAAGGGCTGAAGGGCCCACTCAGGCTACGGCACCGGCGAACCTTGGTAACATGAGGCCCAGCCAAGGGAGCCGGGCACGCAGGCCAGCCTGGCCACCTCAGTGCTGCAGGATTGCATTTCTCTCTCTTTTTTTTTTTTTTTTTTTTTCATGCGGAGTCTCGCTCTGTTGCTCAGGCTGGAGTGCACTGGCATGATCTCGGCTCAATGCAACCTCTGCCTCCCGGGTTCGAGCAATTCTCCTCCGGCCTCAGCTTCCTGAGTAGCTGGAACTACAGGCCCGTGCCACCATACCCGGCTAATTTTTGTATTTTAGTAGAGTCGGGGGGTTCCCCATGTTGCCCAGGCTGGTCTTGAACTCCTGACCTCAAGTGATCTGCCCACCTCAGCCTCCAAAAGTGCTGGAATTACAGGCATGAGTCACCGCGCCCTCCTAGAATTGCATTTCTATAAAATGTCCAGAATGTGCAGGAAAATCCACAGGGGCAGAACCTAGACCAGTGGTCAGCGGGGGCTCGGAGGGGGGATGGGACGTGGCAGCCAGGGAGGACGGGGTTTGCTTCAGGAATGAAGAAAATGTTGTTTGCACAACGTCGTGAGTGACTGAAGGCTACTGAACTGGATACTTTAAAACACCTAATTTCACGTTATATGAATTTTACTTCAATATAAATAAAAAAGACTAACGTGACGATTTCCCAACAACGAAAAAAGAAGGGTGATACAATTTAGAGGAATGAGGAAGTGCCCTGTGGATGTTTGCAGGTAATGCGGACTAATGAACACCTGCGTCTCCTGTACAATTAGGAAATGCTGTGTCATCATCGGGGGGCTGGATTCCAGCTCACTGCATTTCACTAACTCCCCTTTATCTGGCACAGGGCCTGGCATGACCAAAGGTCACCGGCCTGATGTATTTGTGTCTAGAGAACCATTTTTCCATGGGGTAGGAACTCATTAATTACTAGGAAATGACCTCTTTTGTCTTGGAGAAACCATTAATCTCATATGGCGCGTGCCTGTAATCCCAGCTACTCAGGAGGCTGAGGCAGGAGAATTGCCTGAACCCAGGAGGCGGAGGTTGCGGTGAGCCGAGATGGCGCCATTGCACTCCAGCCTGGGTAACAAGAGCCAAACTCCGTCTCAAAAAAAAAAAAAAAAAAAAATCCACGTTTGCATGAGAATGCTAATCCTTGGTGTTAGAGGACAGGGTAGTGGCTTCCCCCACTGAGGCGGTGGCTGACGGGTGTGAGCGGCTCCCCAGGTCTTGAGGCGTCCGGTCTCTGTCTGATGGTGCTGCTGTGGGTGCCTTCGCCTGGTGAGAACTGAGCAGCTCAGATGGCTGTGATGTGTACCCTTTTCTTTATGGATGCTGGGCTTAAAAAATAAACACCCTGCACAAAAATACTTCACCCTCTCCTCAAATCCGTGTTTTCTGTAAAAGTAACATAAGTGGTTTTTAAATATGAGAAAGACAAGCCAAACGTCTCTCAAACTAAAAGAACTAAAACCGTAAAGATGAATGTCCCTGTGTCCACCCGCTTCGGAAGGACCAGTGTGAGTGTGAGTGTGAGTGTGAGGGTGAGTGTGAGGGTGAGTGTGAGTGTGCAGGCAGTGAGTCCACCCACTGCAGGAAGGACCCATGAGTGTGAGTGTGAGTGTGTAGGCAGTGTGTCCACCCACCGCGGGAAGGACCTGTGAGTGTGAGTGTGCAGGCAGTGAGTCCTCCCACCGCGGGAAGGATCCATGAGTGTGAGTGTGTGTGAGTGTGTAGGCAGTGTGTCCACCCACCGCGGGAAGGATCCATGAGTGTGAGTGTGAGTGTGAGTGTGCAGGCAGGGTGTCCACCCACTGCAGGAAGGACCCGTGAGTGTGAGTGTGTAGGCAGGATGTCCACCCACTGCAGGAAGGACCCGTGTGAGTGTGAGTGTGAGTGTGAGGGTGAGTGTGAATGTGAGTGTGCAGGCAGGGTGTCCACCCACTGCGGAAGAACCCGTGTGTGTGAGTGTGAGTGTGAGTGTGCAGGCAGGGTGTCCACCCACTGCAGGAAGGACCCGTGTGAGTGTGAGTATGAGGGTGAGTGTGCAGGCAGGGTGTCCACCCACTGTGGAAGGACCCGTGTGAGTGTGAGTGTGAGTGTGAGTGTGCAGGCAGGGTGTCCACCCACTGCAGAAAGACTCGTGTGAGTGTGAGTGTGTAGGCAGGGTGTCCACCCACTGCAGGAAGGACCCGTGAGTGTGAGTGTGTAGGCAGGATGTCCACCCACTGCAGGAAGGACCCGTGTGAGTGTGAGTGTGAGTGTGGGTGTGCAGGTAGTGTGTCCACCCACTGCAGAAAGACCCGTGTGAGTGTGAGTGTGTAGGCAGGGTGTCCACCCACTGCAGGAAGGACCCGTGAGTGTGAGTGTGTAGGCAGGATGTCCACCCACTGCAGGAAGGACCCGTGTGAGTGTGAGTGTGAGGGTGAGTGTGAGTGTGAGTGTGCAGGCAGGGTGTCCACCCACTGCGGGAAGGACCCGTGAGTGTGAGTGTTAGTGTGTAGGAAGTGTGTCCACCCACCGTGGGAAGGACCTGTGAGTGTGAGTGTGCAGGCAGTGAGTCCTCCCACCGCGGGAAGGATCCATGAGTGTGAGTGTGTGTGAGTGTGCAGGCAGTGAGTCCACCCACTGCGGGAGGACCCGTGTGAGTGTGCAGGCAGTGAGTCCACACACTGCAGAAAGACCCGTGAGTGTGTGTGTGTGTGTGCAGGCAGTGAGTCCACACACTGCAGAAAGACCTGTGAGTGTGTGTGTGTGTGCAGGCAGTGAGTCCTCCCACTGCGGGAAGGATCCATGAGTGTGAGTGTGTGTGAGTGTGCAGGCAGTGAGTTCACCCACTACGGGAAGGACCCGTGAGTGTGGTCGTGCTGGCACTATGCTTCATGTGCAAACAGGAGCTCTCATGCATTATTGGTGACAGAGTAAACTAGTCCAACTTCTTTGGAAAGCCATCAGTAAAAATCTCCCAAAACTGAAAATAAAAATTCCCCGTGACCCTACAGATCCGAGCAAGGCTGAGAAAGCGCCTGCGTGCTGGTGGGCAGCACACGGTGCCATGGATGCCTCCAAATGGAGGGGGGCGGAGCTATGAGCACAGGGTTTCATGTTTTTCAGTGAAAAAGCAGAGCAGCGGGCAGAGTCAAGTAGCACTTGTGAGTTTCAGGCGGGTGCGAGCGCACACTCAAATACACGGATACACATGCACGCTTGGACACGCAGAGGCTCTCTCTCAAAGGACACAAGACCAACATTCCTGCCTGCTTCTAGGACAGCAGCTCTCGGGGAGGGGCAGTCTTGCCCCACCCACCCATACACACAGGAGACATCTGGCAATGTCTGAGGGCATTTCCGGAGTGGCCAGGGCAGCCCCCAGCATCTGGTGGGCAGGGACCAGGGACATTGCTGAATGTCCTACAGTGCACAGAATAGCCTGGTCCCTGTGGCAGCGCTGCGGAGGCTGAGCTGCCCTGGGCGCAGAGGACATCAGGTGGAGGAGGACCGTTCCCGCCACACTTCATGTCGTGCTTATGGATTTCTGTTGTGTGATCGGTTAACTTTTCAAGTATGTTTTTAAATCTGTCCCCATAGCCGAAGGCTGGAGACATCAGCTTCTGCGGAGGAATGCTCGTCTCTGTAGCACCTACAGGGCATCCTCCATGCAGGCTCTCCTGAAATCAACAATCGGTATCGAGACCCCAGAGGTGAGAGAGATCTCAAGCCCCAGAGCTGAATAGTTCAAAAGAGGAACAATAATTTGCAAATTCGGTAGCAGCAGCTTCCCGTACTTATCAACGTTTATTCACAAGGGCTATGATCAGCAGTGGCTCATGCCTGTAACCCCAGCGCTTTGGGAGACCAAGGTGGGAGGATCGGTTGAAGTCAAGAGTTCGAGAACAGCCCAGGCAGTACAGTGAGACCCTATCTCTACAAAAAAATAAAAACGCATGTACTTTTATCAAACATGGTTTGCAACAAAAGATGTAAACCATTTTCAGTGAACACCTTGGTAGCATTAAGTAAATCCACAATCTCTCGTATCCATCACCCGTTTCTAGTTCCAGAATTTTTTATCACTCTAAACAGAACTTCCATGCCCATGAAGCAATAACTCCCCTTCCCCCTCCCCTATTCCCTAGTAATCTCTATTCTACTTTTTGTTGATTTTTTAAATGAAGATCAATCTCATACTTCACGTTACTAAGCCAGGTTTAAGCAATACTTTAAGATGAACTAAAGGTCGTCTAAATTGTCAGCCTTGGTAATTAAGACATGTTGACTCTTTACCCAACCCTCACATGACAGCCTCACCTGAGTATTTCCTTTTCCTTTTCTTTTGTTCTTTTTCTTTTTCTTTTCTTTTTTTTTTTATGAGCCTCTCTCTGTCTCCCAGGCTGGAATGCAGTGGTGTGATCTCAGCTCACTGCAACCTCCACCTCCTGGGTTCAAGTGATTCTCCTGCCTCAGCCTCGCGAGTAGCTGGAACTACAGACACTCACCACCATGCCCAGCTAATTTTTGTATTTTTAATAGAGACAGGGTTTCACCTTGTTGGCCAGATTCGTCCCCAACTCCTGACCTCAAGTAATCCACCCATCTCGGCCTCCCAAAGTGCTGGGATTACAGGTGTGAGCCACCACACCCGGCCACGGGAGTATTTCTTAGGCACACACATGGCAACAACAGCTCTCACCATCCCTCATAAATTTGGGGCCCCACTGCCACAGCATGGTGTTGCTGCTGAGTGGTGGCTCACCCAGGGACAGCTTCTCAGCCCTCGTCCCCTGTCACAGTGGGGGGATGTGACTGAAGCCCAGGGATGTATCTCCTTTCTGAACCAGACAGCCTCATCCACACTCCCTTCCCCCCCACTGCCAGCTGGATGCTGGGGCCCCGGGGCCCTGGAGCATTGCCAGCTGCAAGATGGAAGAAACTTGGGTTCCTGAGTGACCACATGGAGGAAGCCACTTGCTGACATTGCAGCTCCCTGCAAGGGGGAAATACATTGGCTGTGCTGAGACCCTGGAGGGCCTGGATTTTTGCTGCAGCTGACATTAGCCTGACTAACCCCAGCTGAGCTTGTGGGTGTGGGCGGCTTAAACTCATACCAGGCACTGCTCGCAGGGGTGTTTAATAAAAGTTGCCATTGCTGAATGTTAAAAAAAACTAAATTAAAAAAAATAGCTGTATGCTGCAAAACTCGATCTTCCAAAAACTTCAAAACATATTAGAACCGGAGTGCATGCAGTGGTGGGCAGACGATGAATTTCTTGTGTCACTTTGTGACAGTGAGCTGGGAGGGAGGGGCCGGTCACTCAGGCATTACCAGGCAGCGCTCGGTCTCTGCTTCTCAGACTTCTGCTCCTGGTGATAACTGATGAAGAAGAGACCCCCTGGCCAAAGCCGTGCTCCGAAGGGAAGGGGCCCTTCCACAGGAGTCTGAAATTCGGAGTACGATTGATCACATCTAAGTATTTCTTCCGGATAGGAGTACCCCTAGCTATGAGCAACACATTTGTCCCAAAAAGATTTAAAAGTAAATCATGTTTCTAGACACTGATGTATTTCACTGTCTAATGATGCGGGAGACGCACTACGTCTAGTTCTTCGTGTTTCAGGTGAGGTGTGGCAGGTGAACAGCGCCTCCCCGAAAAATGCACATGACCCACCGGGAAACAGTGTCTGTGCAGATACAACAGAGGTGAGGACGGAGGTGAGATACAGCGGGCTGGGGTGGACCTGCCGGCTGCTGAGAGCGTCACATAGAGGCAGAAGAGGACACACACACACAGACTCACTGCAAAGAGCCCCTCCCCCTCAGGACTGGGATGAGGCTTGTTTACCTGTGACAAGGGCAGACGCAGCCGCTCCAAAATCTCAGCCTTCGCCTCCTCAGAGGTGAGCTGAACTGCGAGTCTGCTGGCAGACCAGAACAAAATGTGCAGGAACCAGACTTTCTTTAAGCTCCTCTCCTTCCCCCAGGCCCACCCCCAAAGTGCGAGCCCCAGAAGACCCTGGCATCCTCTCCTGGGAGCAGACGCACCCCAAGGCAGGGCTTCCACACATGTGCTGTCTGGGCCTCGCCACCCTCGCCCCGGCGCCTCGCACCATACCCCACACCGGCTCTTCCTAGCTTGTTTTCTCCTCCTCTGAATAGGAAAGCCCAGGCTGTCTGACCATGGAGACTGGCAGAGTTCCTGCCCAGAACTTTCCCCATGTTGCCACTGCCCCTTCCTGCCCCCTCCCACCCCATAGGGATAGGTTAGAATAAAGCCCCTCCTTCTGTAGTCCAGGATTGCTTCTGTGGCCTCATCACAAGCTAAGGTCACTGAAGAGGACAATGGGTTAAGAAACACCTCTGCCTCCCTTCACTCTTCTCCACGAGGAGCAGCGGACCCTGCGCCCTAGGCTGTCAGATTCTCAAATCCCTCCCCGGGTAAGTGCAGCAGCTCTGGGAAGCGTGGTCCAGACAGAAACCTGGGCACCTCCTCCCGTCTGTCCCCCATGAGACATTCCAACACGGCCTGCCCTGGTGGCTGAAAGTCAAGGCTGATGAATTTAAACCACTGCTGAGATCACCACCCATCACTGTGCCAGGAGAAGAGCCAAGTCTGCTAAGATCAGGACTCGGTGGAGCAAACGCTGGCACCGCCGTGCTGGCCCCGGGCCCCACGCACACGGCCAGGGCGTTTAGCACTTGGGCCTCCACCAGCAGGAGCAAGGCCGAGTCTTCCAACTCCCTCGACAGGCGCGAGCGGCACCTGCCAGCGCCGTCGGGGACCTGGGGCACCAGATGGCTGCGGGGTCAGAGGAGGAAGGGGTGTGAACTGGAAAAGGGGTCCTAGCAAGAAGTGGACACCGTGCAGGGAGGAAGAGGTCGCTACCAGCTGAGAAAGAAGTAGGGAGAGAACAGTGGGAGGCCAGGTGGCATTGGCACCAACCCACTTGCGGGCGGATACCTCACGCTGACCGGGAAGGATCTGCACGGGCTGGCAGCACCGCGATTGAAGACCCGCTTCCAAATACTGCACGTTCTTTTCAGCTAATCCTTCCATTGTCTTACCTTGTTAAAGTGAAAATGTCGTTACAGATTTTTTCACATCAGCGCCCAGATCCTGCTGCTAAAACCTCATCTCGTTCCTGTGACTTCACGAGTAAGAGACCCACCCGCCAAAGTCGTGTTCACAGGGCAGGATCGGAAGCAGCGAGTGTGACTGGTCACATCCAGCGTCTCTCTCAGATACGAGATTCCCTTACTATAAGCAGAATATGTGTCCCCAAAACGTTGATTTATTTTTTTTTTTGAGACAGAGTCTTGCTCTGTCACCCACGCTGGAGTGCAATGCCACTGGAACCTCCATCCGCCTCCTGGGTTCAAGTGATTCTCCTGCCTCAGCCTCCTGACTAGCTGGGATTACAGGTGCCCAATCACCATGCCCAGCTAATTTTTGTATTTTTAGTAGGATGGGGTTTCACCATGTTAGCCAGGCTGGTCTCGAACTCCTGACCTCAGGTGATCCACCTGCCTTGGCCTCCCAAAGTGCTAGGATTACAGGTGTGAGCCACCGTGCCCAGTCCCCACAGAGGATTTATGCAAGTAAATCATGTTTAAGAGCTCGATGGCCCTATTGTACTGCGTGACTATTTCAGAGACACCTTGTGTGTACTTAATCCACCTTTAAGATGTGGTAAGGAGGTTAGCCAGTCACCTGCACCCCCAACATGTCTGGATGGCATCTCTGCACGTTTCAAAGGGCAAAATGTATTTATAAACTAAAGGAGAACTAAACAAAGAAGACGTGTGAAAGGTGGTCTTCGTGCCTTTGTTCTGCGTAGTTCTGTGATGCTGATTTTCCTAGATGTCTGTTTGTTTGGGTAAAGCTTCTAGGTGACTGGGCATTGAATAAAGTAGACAAAACAAATAAAAGTTGTGCTTTCAGAATGGAAAATCACTTAGGCATTGCAGAAAGGTAAGGAGGAAAAGCTTAAAAATAAAGAAACTCCCATCGTCTGGAGCAGACAAACTTGCAGACATCTTTCTACCCATATTCACATGTGGAAGGATATTTGGGCTTTTACTGAGATAGTATAATAATGGCTTATTTTTAATTTATTGACTCGCAAACGTTCATTGAACACGGAGTGTGCTTCAGGCACGTGACTCGGGGAAATGAGCCGCATGATAAATGCCAGCAATTACTTCCCAACATGTATCCACAGATGAATTAAAATAGCGCTCAAAGCAATCTGCGATTTTGAAAATTATTGCCATGAGGGCCAGTGAAATGAGCCCAGAGAGCCAACAATCCTGGCCAACAGCTCAGATCTACTATTGTTAAAATTTGTACTGTGGGAAAAAGGGGCACATCATAGAAGTCACCAGATAGCTTACAGGCTGACGCACTCAGGGACCAGGATCTGACGCCATTTACAGGATGACGCACTCAGGGACAAGGCTCTGACACCATTTACAGGATGACGCACTCGGGGACCAGGCTCTGACGCCATTCCAGACGTGGCCCCACAGCGCCCAGCCCAGCCTGTGCTGTTCCTGTGGCCTGGCTTTGTGAACAGCCTCACCGTGGCTTCTCAGTGGCCTTGGTGGCGCGGGCAACACATGCCCTGCTCTGCGCCGTGGGACCCGGCAGGCCGGCCTGCTGTTTCCAACCCCCTCTCCTCACCTCCAGCCTTTCCAGCCTCACTGGCCTCCCAAGCTTGCTCCCTGTCCCAGGGAGCCATGGGAACACTCTTGAACACTCTGGAACACTTTTCTGGAACCCTCTGGGGCCCACGGGATGACACGTACGTTTGCTATGTAACAGGTCTAGTGAAAAAGAAAGGGAAGTCGCTCGCATTGAGTGAACAGACACACCAGTCCCTTCATGGGGGCAGCCACGTGACCGAGAGCTCTCCTGAAGCACGAGTCGTCTTCACCCTCATCAGTTACCACAAGCGACCCTTAGGACTCCGAGCACAGCTGGCAGGCATTCTCCCAGCCCTGTAGCACAAGGGTGCGCCAGCCTTTCTTGGTGCCCAGGGGCAGGTGATGGGTATAGGCAGGGGGACACCAAGACCTCACATTCTAAAGACCCCAAAATGTATGAGTTCCCCCTCGGAGTTTATACAGAGGCACAGAACCACCTCCACCACCCACCTCTCCCCAGTCCCTGATTCCAGCCACTCAGCTGAACCGTCTCAAACCAAGTCTAAACTCTGCAAAACGCAGGCTGAAATGCAGGCCTCATGTTGCCCAAGGCAGCTGACCCCGCTCTTACCCCACAGAACTCGAGCGGAGGTTAGTTCATGGCTCCCTGATGGGCTGTGACCTGCAGTTGCAGAAACTCTGGAATGAGACATCAGCATTCTCAGGGGACAGAGGTCCTGGGCTGGACTCCTGCCTCCGGAATGAGACCTCAGCCCTCTCAGGGACAGAGGTCCTGGGCTGGACTCCTGTCTCTGGAATGAGACCTCAGCACTCTCAGGGACAGAGATCCTGGGCTGGACTCCTGCCTCTGGAATGAGACCTCAGCCCTCTCAGGGACAGAGGTCCTGGGCTGGACTCCTGTCTCTGGAATGAGACCTCAGCACTCTCAGGGACAGAGGTCCTGGGCTAGACTCCTGCCTCTGAAATGAGACCTCAGAGTTCTCAGGGACAGAGGTCCTGGGCTGGACTCCTGCCTCTGGAATGAGACCTCAGGGTTCTCAGGGACAGAGGTCCTGGGCTGGACTCCTGCCTCTGAAATGAGACCTCAGGGTTCTCAGGGACAGAGGTCCTGGGCTGGACTCCTGCCTCTGGAATGAGACCTCAGGGTTCTCAGGGACAGAGGTCCTGGGCTGGACTCCTGTCTCTGAAATGAGACCTCAGAGTTCTCAGGGACAGAGGCCCTGGGCTGGACTCCTGTCTCTGGAATGAGACCTCAGCACTCTCAGGGACAGAGGTCCTGGGCTGGACTCCTGTCTCTGGAATGAGACCTCAGGGTTCTCAGGGACAGAGGTCCTGGGCTGGACTCCTGCCTCCGGAATGAGACCTCAGGGTTCTCAGGGACAGAGGTCCTGGGCTGGACTCCTGCCTCCGGAATGAGACCTCAGCACTCTCAGGGGACAGAGGTCCTGGGCTGGACTCCTGTCTCCGGAATGAGACCTCAGGGTTCTCAGGGACAGAGGTCCTGGGCTGGACTCCTGCCTCCGGAATGAGACCTCAGGGTTCTCAGGGACAGAGGTCCTGGGCTGGACTCCTGTCTCCGGAATGAGACCTCAGGGTTCTCAGGGACAGAGGTCCTGGGCTGGACTCCTGCCTCCGGAATGAGACCTCAGGGTTCTCAGGGGACAGAGGTCCTGGGCTGGACTCCTGCCTCCGGAATGAGACCTCAGGGTTCTCAGGGACAGAGGTCCTGGGCTGGACTCCTGCCTCCGGAATGAGACCTCAGCACTCTCAGGGACAGAGGTCCTGGGCTGGACTCCTGCCTCCGGAATGAGACTCAGCACTCTCAGGGGACAGAGGTCCTGGGCTGGACTCCTGCCTCCGGAATGAGACCTCAGGGTTCTCAGGGACAGAGGTCCTGGGCTGGACTCCTGCCTCCGGAATGAGACCTCAGCACTCTCAGGGACAGAGGTCCTGGGCTGGACTCCTGCCTCCGGAATGAGACCTCAGCACTCTCAGGGGACAGAGGTCCTGGGCTGGACTCCTGCCTCCGGAATGAGACCTCAGGGTTCTCAGGGACAGAGGTCCTGGGCTGGACTCCTGTCTCTGGAATGAGACCTCAGCACTCTCAGGGACAGAGGTCCTGGGCTGGACTCCTGCCTCCGGAATGAGACCTCAGGGTTCTCAGGGACAGAGGTCCTGGGCTGGACTCCTGCCTCCGGAATGAGACCTCAGGGTTCTCAGGGACAGAGGTCCTGGGCTGGACTCCTGCCTCCGGAATGAGACCTCAGCACTCTCAGGGACAGAGGTCCTGGGCTGGACTCCTGCCTCCGGAATGAGACCTCAGCACTCTCAGGGACAGAGGTCCTGGACTGGACTCCTGCCTCCGGAATGAGACCTCAGCACTCTCAGGGGACAGAGGTCCTGGGCTGGACTCCTGCCTCCGGAATGAGACCTCAGGGTTCTCAGGGACAGAGGTCCTGGGCTGGACTCCTGCCTCCGGAATGAGACCTCAGCACTCTCAGGGGACAGAGGTCCTGGGCTGGACTCCTGCCTCCGGAATGAGACCTCAGGGTTCTCAGGGACAGAGGTCCTGGGCTGGACTCCTGTCTCTGGAATGAGACCTCAGCACTCTCAGGGACAGAGGTCCTGGGCTGGACTCCTGCCTCCAGAATGAGACCTCAGGGTTCTCAGGGACAGAGGTCCTGGGCTGGACTCCTGCCTCCGGAATGAGACCTCAGGGTTCTCAGGGACAGAGGTCCTGGGCTGGACTCCTGCCTCCGGAATGAGACCTCAGGGTTCTCAGGGACAGAGGTCCTGGGCTGGACTCCTGCCTCCGGAATGAGACCTCAGCACTCTCAGGGACAGAGGTCCTGGGATGGACTCCTGCCTCCGGAATGAGACCTCAGGGTTCTCAGGGACAGAGGTCCTGGGCTGGACTCCTGCCTCCGGAATGAGACCTCAGGGTTCTCAGGGACAGAGGTCCTGGGCTGGACTCCTGCCTCTGGAATGAGACCTCAGGGTTCTCAGGGACAGAGGTCCTAGGCTGGACTCCTGCCTCCGGAATGAGACCTCAGGGTTCTCAGGGACAGAGGTCCTGGGCTGGACTCCTGCCTCCGGAATGAGACCTCAGGGTTCTCAGGGACAGAGGTCCTGGGCTGGACTCCTGCCTCTGGAATGAGACCTCAGGGTTCTCAGGGACAGAGGTCCTGGGCTGGACTCCTGCCTCTGGAATGAGACCTCAGGGTTCTCAGGGGACAGAGGTCCTGGGCTGGACTCCTGCCTCTGGAATGAGACCTCAGGGTTCTCAGGGACAGAGGTCCTGGGCTGGACTCCTGCCTCTGGAATGAGACCTCAGGGTTCTCAGGGACAGAGGTCCTGGGCTGGACTCCTGCCTCTGGAATGAGACCTCAGGGTTCTCAGGGACAGAGGTCCTGGGCTGGACTCCTGCCTCCGGAATGAGACCTCAGGGTTCTCAGGGACAGAGGTGGGACCGGAGAAGGAGAATCCCCCTGAGATGGCACCTTCACCTGTACGTGGGGGGCACACAGGGCCGAGTGGTCAGGGGCGGCTGCAGCACAAGCCTCTTCACACAGCCTCGAAGACTGCACCCTCCCCCCTCACCCTTCCCTCTCCCCCCACCACTTCTTTATAACAGAGCCTCTTAATTGCCTGCTGTTGAGCAACCAGGAATGAAGAATTATTTGATGAGCCTTTTGTTCTCTTTTTTAGTTATTAAATTTTAATTAAAAACAATTAAAGGCACCCTGCCCCAATTCACAGTAATAAATCTCACCCAGACCCTCACGGTCTCCCTCCAGTCAAGACTGAGGCAGCCTCCTACCCTCTCTCCTGATTCCTAGCCCACCGCCAACCCTCTTTCCCCAGGACTGCCAAAGGTGCGTTCTTGGAAAGAGCCACCCAAGCTGCCGGTCCTGCTGCACTGCACTGTGGACTCGGTTTAGCGGGGCATAGCATGATCTTTAAAAGCCAAATACAGGGATGGGACGGGATGCAATGGAATGGGTGGTATGGGATAGAATAGAATAGAGAGATGGGATGAGATGGGCGGAATGGGAGGGGATGGAAGGGGAGAGGAGGGGAGGAGAGGGGACGGGAGGGGAAGGGAGGAGAGGGGACAGGAGAGGAGAGGAGAGGAGAGGAGAGGAGAGGAGAGGAGAGGAGAGAGAGGAGAGGAGAGGAGAGGAGAGGAGAGGAGATGTTGATTGAATGGCTGGAACGGGATGGAATAGAATAGGATAGAATAGGATGGGAGGGATAGGGAGGGGAGGGGAGGGAGGGGAGGGAAGGGGAGGATAGGGGACAGGAGGTGAGAGGAGAGGAGAGGGAGATGTGATTGAATGGCTGGAATGGGATGGAATAGAATAGGATAGGATGGGATGGGATGGGGAGGGGAGGGGAAGGAGGGGAGGGAAGGGGAGGATAGGGGACAGGAGGGGAGAGGAGAGGAGAGGGAGATGTGATTGAATGGCTGGAATGGGATGGAATAGAATAGGATAGGATAGGATGGGATGGGGTAGGTTAGGGGAGGGGAGGGGAGGGGAGGGAAGGGGAGGATAGGGTGGAGTAGGATAGAGAGATGGAATTGAATGGCTGGGATAGGATAGGATAGGTTGGGTAGGATAGGGACTGAATAGCTGGGATGGGATGGGATGGGATAGAATAGAATAGGGCAGGGTAGGGTAGGTGGGGTAGGGTAGAGAGACGGGACCGAATGGCTGGAATGAGATGGAATGGGACAGGTGAGGGCTAGGGAACAGAACAGCACACACACTTACAAGTGAGGAACTGGCATCATCTTCATTTTACAGACAAGAAATCTGGGCGTGAAGGTTGCTCATGACCAAGCACCTAAGACACGATTTGAACCCGGACGCTTCTCCCATGGCCCCCAGCTGGCCCCATACTCCCACAGGAGCATTTCTCAGGAAACACTCCTCTGTCTCCCGTCGTGCCCATGAGGTCCCTGTGATACGACTCCATGCTCTAGCATGCCGTGATCATGTAACAATCCGACTGAAAGAATGAATGAATACGATGTGAATAAAAGGCACAGGGCCATCTCTACACTCATTTTTAAAGATAATTTAGGCAACTGGGGAAAGTCTGGGTGTACACGCACGTGCAGACAGTCCCACGCTGGCCTCATGATGCCCGTGAGGGGGGTCGCCTTGAGGACGGTGGGGCAAGCACACGAAGGATGACCACTTCTCACAATGCCTCCATGAAGAAATGGCGACCCCCAAAGCCAGTGGGGCCTAGCAATCGCGGACAGAATCCACTTCTACGCCCACTCTGAGAAATGTCCGTGGGGAGAGGAGAGCAGGACTCACAGGCATCTCGGCCTTCCCCTTTCTGACGCAGCCCACACCTCTGGAGGCGGGCATGGAAATGGCTGAACAGCTATGTTTCCCAGATGCTGGTGCAGACTGCGGTGGCACATCACAGCACCAACCAGCGGTGTAAGTGCAAGTCACTGAACGGCGTTGTCCCCTAGAAAGCCCTTTAAATGGGCTAAGTCAGCTGTCACTTACTTTCTCTTGCCCCTCGTCCACTACCGCTCCACTGCTTCCTGCCTGGGTGCGGGTGTGCCGGCTGGAGCTCCACCAGCTGTCCTGAAGGTATTAAGACAAGGATTGTGGTCACCAAGATGGCAGAGGGGCCAAGCCAGAGGGAGCATGGTACCTAAGGATGAGCAGAACCAGCACTCGAGGAAGCTCTGGAATTCTGCATCTGAACTTCTTTTTTTTCTTTTTTTTTTGAGTTTGCTCTTGTTACCCAGGCTGGAGTGCAATGGCGTGATCTCGGCTCACCGCAAACCTCCGCCTCCTGGGTTCAGGGCAGTTTTCCTGCCCCAGCCTCCTGAGTAGCTGAGATTATAGGCAGGCCACCATCATGCCTGTAATTTTTTTTTTTTTTTTTTTTTTTGTATTTTAGTAGAGACAGGGTTTCACCATTTTGAACAGGATGGTCTTGATCTCTTGACCTCGTGATCCACCCGCCTCGCCTCCCAAAGTGGTGGGATTAC